ATGGCATGCCATGGGTTGATTGACATGGCATGGCATGGATGGCAAAGTATGGCATGGCGCCTGACAGTTGTTGCAGGTTGACCAGGTTGGACAGCCCTCCCGGCAAATAGCCCGCCAGGTTGTTCCGGTTAATGAATCTGCAGTGCAGCACACAGCATAAGGTGGGGTGGGGCCCAAGCAAGAAGAGGGCCATGGTGGCATTGGGGTGGGCCATCAAGCAGCACCCTCACATGCCCATTGCTCGCACACACTGTTTCACGGAATGCCACTCAGCAACCAACGGCCTGCGTGACGTGTGCATGCATGCATGCATGCATGCACTGCCACGCCATGCGTCTGACCACCGCCATGTGCACTTGGCTTGTCGAACTCCACCCGTCAGACACGCCTTTCCAGCGCTCGGGCCATGCTGCTTGGCAGCTACACACGTGGTTCAGCTTGGCAGAACATGCCCCGTGCATGCACCGTAATGCCCACATAGCCCTCAGATGCTCCAGGAGCTCTCACAGCTGAATGGTCAAGACATTCACACATGGAAACTATTTAAGAACAGCTGTGGAAATCAGTTGAATGGGAGACTAATCAGTTTTTTTCTAGAATCGAGTGTTGAGTGTGTATATTTGTGGCAGATTCGTACTCGACTTACCGTATTTGCATTCGACGTAGAACAGCTATTCGGACAACTAGTAAACTTGAACACTATTCGCGAAGTATATTCGCATTTGGCTCCCATTCGTTCTTACCGGCTTAACCAGGGGGGAGTGGGCAGCACAGCACGTACAGCTGGGTGAGGGCGGTGAGCAGGGAGATGCCATCTGGCAGCACCCCGTGGCGGGTGTCCGTGTCCGTGTTCAGGTTCCTGCACGGAGAGGGGGCAGCGCTCATGCCAGTGAGTGCGCGAGTGAGGGGGCAGTGACGCGATGGCCGGGTAGTTGAGCAGGTGGTGCGGGGGCAGCAAGGGGGGGCGGAATCTCACAGGGTGCGGAGGTTGGAGAGCTGCACGACCCAGTCGGGGAAGTCTGTGGCGCGCAGGTATGACAGGTCGCTGCAGGGGGGTGCCATGGGGTGGTACAGGGACAACAGAGGGGCGCACGAACGGGGCTAAGCGGAGCAACCCTGCCATATGCATGCAGTGTGTGCGTGGTGTGGTGGTGGTGTGGAAGAACGTGACACGTGGTGCCTCGTGTGGTGCACTAACGTGTGTTGTGAGCTTACAGTGCAGTGAGGGTAGTCAAGTATCGGAGGTCCCTGGGGACCTGCCCTGTTGCGTTGGTGAGACTGCACAGCCTCCTGCTCACACACACAGCAGCGCACGTGTTACCATGCACGTCATCGATCACTGCATGGCAGGGTGCATGCGATGCAAGCAGAGGTGGGAGGGTCAGGGACGGTGAGGGAGTGTGATGCGAGGGGTGCCGTGCGGCGCTCACAGATCACGGAGGGAACGGAGGTTGGAGAGCATGGCGAGGGAGGAGAGGTCTCCTTTGAACTCCACCATATCCGTCAGCCTCCTGGTCAGGGCGGGCGGAAAGAAGCGAGAGCGGATGCAGCGGACGGAGAGAGGCAAGGGAGTGGTGGGAGCAGCACATGATGGGTGGTGCGCCAGCAGCACATGATGGGTGGTGCGCCAGCAGCACATGCCATGCCACGCCACCGAGTCAGCGCACCCACCCACAACCTCCCACACCAGCGCAGGCAGGCAGCAGATGTGCGCACGTGGGTGGGGGTAAGGGACGCTACAGGCCCACGCTATCGTGGTGCCCCGTGCCGTGCATGCTCTGCGCCACGCGGAGGCAAGCCTTGCCAAGCGCAATAGAACATCATGGGCAGCCCTGTTGTACAAGGCGTTACAGTCACAATGCTTGGGTGTGCGTGTGCAGGGCTTAGAGAGTTTGAAGGGCGTACAGGGTTTGCAGATTGGAGAGCGTGGAGAGCCACGTGAGGTCGCCGTAAGCGCCAGTCAGCTTGCACACGCTGTCTTCTCCCAGGGCGCTGAGCGCAGGGGATACGCGCGGAGGACATAGAGCGGCAGGGCAGCGGGAGCCACGAGGAGTGGGCATGGCACGAGAAGAAAAGGTGTTGTTGCATACGAGGAACGGAGGGGCAGTGGCGGACAGAACGGGTGCAGCGTGACGTTTGGACGAGGAATTGAGCGATGGGCGAGGGCACGCACAGATAGGTGAGGCGGGTGAGCGCGGCGAGTGATGGCAAGGGTCCCTTGAGGGTAATGCCGTATGTCAGATCGCTGCACACACGGCAAGCAGCACACGGAAGCAGGGCGATGGTGATGGGCACGGGACGTCGGGCACGTGCTGGATGTGCACGTGTACGCTCGCTTGGTTGAGGGCACGCACATGGGAAGAGACGAAAAGACGAAAGCGGGTGCAGAAACTCATGATCCAGGTATTGGAGTTGCGGGTACGAGGAGGCGCACAGGTGTTGGAGGGTGGAGAGGCCGGTGATGGACGCCGGTATCACGCCACCTGGTGGCGGCCCCGGGTCCACCGCTTCATTCAGAGTTCTGCTCACCAACACGCACAAGCCAGTTGGGTATCCGTGCGCTTGAGGAGCGTGTGCGGCGGTGTAAGGCACTATAAAGGTTGCACCAACGTAGGCGCGTGCACGCTGTACATGATGATAAGCACGAAACAGAAACGACACCGACACCGACGAAATGGCCCATGCTTGGCAATCTCGGACAAACCGACACCGCTCGCATAGGCCACCATGCACGCCCACGACACCCATTCTGAAAAGGTACAGCACGGTCAACGCGAACCCATGAACGCGCCCCTCCCCCGCGTTCCCCTTTGTAACGCCTGCGGCTTTGCACGAAGGGTAACAAGGTTACGGCTGCGCCTTTGAACAACTGGCCCAGTGGTCTAGAGGACGGGGCGTTATACCCTCCCCACCCCCGCCCCCTCACAAGCACGGCGTCAGGATGAGAAGCCACTTGGAAGCTCACAGAGCAACGACGAATCCGCGCGGGGTGCACTGGACGCCAGGCCACGCGGTGCACGCAGTGGTGGCGTTGGTGTTCTTGGGCCACATGCTCCACGCCTTGTTCAGCTCCACCAGCACGCTCACTGCGCCGCTCGCCGGGAAGCGGAGGAGGGGGGGGGGGGGGGGAGCGGGGCGGGGAGGAGGGTGGAGGGAGGAGGGAGGAGAGAGGAGGGAGGGAGCGGGGGGGAAAAGGGGCAACGAGGTCGCAGGAACCGTGGCGGATCAGTCAACTGATGAAGGGAAAAATGTTAACGGGTCTACGCGGGTGCGAACGACTCACGCTGGCTCTCCTCAAGAAAGGGCGGCCCCGCCGCGTCGCGGGCTGCTGCGGTTCTCGCATTTAGCGTTATAAGTGAGCGTCTGCGGCCGGATCGCACTAGCGGGGACACCACCCGCCGTTTCCGCAGGCTAGAGGCATCGCGATGCGGTGGTGGGTTCTGCTCATCTGAGAAAAAGCAATCGGCAGCGGTACTGAAAGTGAGCAGCGAGAGGAGAAAAAGGCGAGAGACAATTGCCTGGAGCCTGCTGCTCGCACGGCGGCGAGTGTTGCGTAGCATCGCGAAAGAGTGGCTCTGCTGAAGTTGCTCTCGTGTGAAGGAAGCAACTTAGTTGCAAATGGGGGTGATCACTTAGAGGCTAGAGGCATCGCGGCCCTGGACACATGCCCCGCCTAATATCCACCTCCACACCACACTACACCGCCGCCGTCTCTAACGACGCCACACTCTACACTGCCCTGCATAACCGTGGTGAAAGGCTTGTAACCATTGTGGTGGATCGGTCAGGTTGGGTTGGGACGAAAGCACACCAGCCACAAAAGGGCCGAGAAAAAGTGAAGCGATTGAACCCCGCCATTCATGCATCATGTTCGAAACCAGCGGGGGTAGTACTGTATATCTGACAGAAATGTTTTATTTCTGTTATTTTTTCCTGTGATTCGACGTTTGGGAGGCTCCTCTAATGGTGCTTAGCGAGGGGCGAGGAAGCTCGCGGCAAATGATTGTAATGGATTACGTACGTCCTGCCTAAGTGTGTGACAAACACCCCCTCAACCGCCTCAACCACGATTATCACGTCAGGAAAAAATCCCACAAAACCCCAATTTAAACATATATTGTTTAGGATATTAGCAAACCGTGTTAGCCGGCTTACTTATCGCGTCGGCAATTGTGGACGGCGTCACTGGCGTTTCAAGTGCCGTTGTCATTGAGTGCTCCAACTGAGTCTCACCTGTCTTTTGAGAGTGCTTGTTTGTGATTCACCCTGTCAGCACCCGAAACGCTCCATGTTCATAGTGACAACGTTAGTCGATTATTTTGCCAATTTACAGCGCTCTTTCCTCGCAAAGTAGCATTGATATCGTACATTCACGGAAGTGGGAAGGAAAGCACAAATTATCCGCGGAAAAATGATAGGGTGTTCTGGTCTATAGTGAAGCAAAACTCAGATTTAACCAGGTTATTCCGAAACATTATACATTACACTGTCTCCACCGCTCACCGACTGTGGTTGTCAAACTCACTGTTGACATGTGCCGACAAAACGCAAAATGAACGTTTGTACAAGTTTGTACAATACTATCTTCTATCGACTTATACATGTAGAAACAGTAAAAACTGTTGACTACCTTATAGTTCTAATCTCCTTTCTGAATAGCTTGTGGATACAACATCTTCTCAGCACCAGCTTCCACCACCATCTTGCTGATAGGGGTCTTTCCTCGAGGGGCTGTGAACAGGAGCCGGGATAAACTCTCCATCACATCCGGGGCAAAGACACGGTAGTAGAGAAATGTTGTGTACCATGATGGCACCCGCACGTAGCGCTGGCGACGTAGTGCACCATTCACAATAGCAGACGCACACCATGCAGTGGGCTCTACTGGGAATGGACCCACATGAGCCTGCCGAGCATTAGATTAAGGTGATGTGAGGTTGTATCAGTTGTATGGACATAATAGGAGACACCAAATACACCATGAATGTGAGTACACTCACATCTCTCTGTTCCTTGTCCCACACAACCCTTCCTTCGGCTGTCACGAACTTGCCAGCCGTCATTTCGCTCTCCACCCATCCGGGCATAGCAACGGTGATGCCCACCTCGTCGCCCACCTCCACACGCAGCGTATCAAAGAAGTTCACCAGCGCTGCTTTCGCTGCCTGCCACCACACACGCACTCTAGCTCACGTTGCATATCCTTCCAAAACACCAGCTGAGCAAAGCTGCAGCATATACGGATAGTTTAGCAGAAAAAGCTACGCATGCAGTGGGCGGCACGTACATTGTAGATGGCCATGCGGGGGTATGGGATGAAGGACGCCACAGACGAGGTGACGACGATGTGGCCCTGGGAGCGCCGCAGATGAGGCAGTGCATAGAAAGTGGGGTAGATGGCGCCCCAGAAGTTCACTTCCTGCACACATGCACACGCACGCGATCAGCAGCAAGGGCATGACTAAGAACGGCTTGATGCAAAGCGGGTGCAGCGAGCACTCACCATGACTTCCGCGACGTCCGTGTTCTTGGCCTCCTCCATGAAGAAGCTGTGTGCGATGCCCGCGTTGTTCACCAGATGGTCCACTGCCACACGCAACACCCCCACACGTAACGCAACCACTCACCCGCACGCACATGACCACCAACACCTCCACAGACGGGAGGCAGAGTAAAGCGGGATGCAGTACTCACGGCGTCCGAACGCGGCGATGGTGTCGTTAATGAGCTTCTCGCACTCCGCCGCCACCGTCACGTCCACCAGAGCAACGCGCGCCTCCGCGCCCTCCATCTTGCACATTTCCGCAGTGCGCCGCAACTCCTCCTCCCGCCGCCCCGCCAACACCAATCGCGCGCCCTTCTGCGCATATACCCGCGCTGCCTCCTGCGGAATGGAAAATTTATGGCGGGTGGTAAGAGCCCGATCTGCAGCGCGATTCCTCCCTAGTCGTAAAGCTGCAGATGTCAACGACCGGGAAATAAACATGTTCGGATTGACGACGGTGCTCTACGGAGTTGGCTAGAACCAGACCTGACCGATGCCCGACGACGCGCCCGTGATGACGACGACCTTGCCCCGAACGTCCTCCGGGAAGAAGAGGCCAAAAGCCCACGTCGCAAAGCGCATTGCCGCTACCAGGGGCGCGATGAAGAGGAGGAACGCGACGCTCACAGGCAGCAACGTAAAGTCTAGAAGCAGGTGAACGATTTCCATGGCGACTGACGCACACACACGCTACAAACAACAATACTGAAAATCGACAACACCTCCAAGTAACTCATATTCAACCCTACATGTGCTGATAATCCTTTACATCGATCCGACGATGTTGATACGAATCGCGAAACACCGCATCCCCTCCTCGTTTCGCGACACGTATAGGGTCCAATGACAACAGAAAAGCGGCGGCACGAGGGAAGCCCTACAGGCCAACACGTGCTTTGCTGCATGCCGAGCAATATCAAAAAGAGCAAAACGAGGTGAAGGGACAGGTATTGGGGCATGACGAAGCCGAGAACTGAACTGAACTGCTTACATTAGACGAATTCAATAGAGGCCAGAGGCTTTCGAGGAATTCACTCTAAAACTGTAGTGTGTGTTAATATTTCTTATTTGATTCTTCATCTCTCAGTTCTCTTATTCCATAGGCAAGTGTTTAAGGACAACTGAAGAAGATATTTTCACAAAGAATACCATCCGACCACGGAGAGAGGTGCAGGCCTAGGTTTGGTATGCACGGAGCACGGCGTTTACCGAAATCCGATCCCACTGGGGACCTTGCCAAGATCAGCCTGCACAGAGTTAATGCAGCGGAAGTAATTGACATCAGATCAGAGTGAATATAAAATGGCTGAAGTGATTATAACATGTGCATACCTGTCAAGAATGAAAGTGTTCGTTTGACTAAGGGTACATTCCGCTCTTGACACAAATGTCTCAATCGCGTCATACAACCTCTGTACCAGTCTGCACCGCATTACACCTAATTGTCGAACATTTCCACCGCACTGCATCTCTTCGATTGAGACGCGAGGCCTTTGTGACGCGCTTCAGGAATGTACCCTAAGGTTGGTTGGGGTACATAAACATAACCCAAACAGTTGTACCCGCTATAACACACAACACTAATGTTACGAATAGTAATTATTGAAACATTACTGTCAGGCCCCCAGAAGTACCCCAAATTTCTCTGATTTGCCTAAAAAAGTCTGATATTTCTGCCTTTTTTTTTAGTGAACTCTGAAAGTTCAGAGTTTTTTTTGCTGTGAACTCTGAATATTCAGAAAAACAAATGTAGGCATTGTCTGATTTTTCAGCCTTTTTCTCAGAGTGTACTCTGATCCATGAGCGTTTTAGCGGGTACCCACTCTGGTATTCTCTTGCGAAATCTGCACTAACAGCCGCGATGAGCGCTGCAAGTACAGTTTAGTCCTGTCAGTCAAGCTGAAACAGGGGCTGAAGTGTCGCGCGGCGCAATCACCACCTCGTTTTAGGCAGATCCATCAGCTTCCCTACTGATATGAATTCTGGGTAATCAGACTCTTATAAATTTATACTCTTGAACTCTGAAATTTCAGATTTTTTTTTGTACCAAGTCTGATTGATCAGACAAAAAATGTGTACTAAGTCTGACGAATCAGACAGCCCGAAAACGAATCTAATGGCCTGTTTACTGTGCACTCCTCACCGCAGCAAGCGAAGCACGCACTACCGAGGTTGAAGACGAAAAGGCGGAAGTGACGCGACGAGTCGTGTTAGAATAAGCAGGCAGGGATGGTGGACTAGGTAGCATGCATGAGTACAAGTACCTAACCCTAAAGTGTTGTACCCCTTGTAGGCTAACCCACTATAGCCTAGAGATAACACAAACATACAGTTTGACACACCCCCATAGGCTAAGTGGGAGATAGCAAACACAACAGACGGTCACAAGACCAGTCAAGCAAGAGAACAAGCAAAGCAAAGCAAAGCTCAGGGTGGATCTCAATTACACCACACAATCTGAGCACAAGCAAGCGGCCACAAGGCCAGTTCACATGCAGAGTTATAATAGCAAGGCAGTACACTGATCACAACCTAGCAAGATTAAACAAGCAGGTATAAAGATATATATATCAGTGTACAACAAGAGCAAGTCAAGCAACCAGCAGGTGAGGCAGAGTGGGCACAAGCCCAAGAGCAGTGCAAAAACGCTGATGATCACCAGACCCAAGGGCCTTGGTAAAAACATCAGCAGTGTTGGCCCGAGAGGCCACGTAAGCAAGGCGCAGCTGACCACGCTGCTGCAGCTCCCGAGCAAGAAAGTAACGAAGAGCAATGTGCTTCGTTCTGTGCTCCAGTCTCTGCTCGCGACACAAGGCAAGCATTGCCTTGTTGTCGACGTTCAGAACTGGAGGAGAACGAGGCCGCTCCCCCAAGTCGGTCAGCAGGTAGGTCAGCCCGCGTAGCTCCTGTGCAGCCATGGCCCCAGCGTAGATCTCGGCCTCACAGCTGGAACCAAGCACAGAAGAAGAACGAGTGGACCTCCACGAGACAGGACCAGAGCCAAGACTGAAGGTGTAACCCTGTGACGAACGCTGAGTCGCCTGGTCGTCGGCCCAATAAGCGTCAGAGTGTCCTGTGAGTACCACTGAACCCCGTCCTCCAAGCACGAGCCCCATGCCCGATGTACTGCACAAGTAACGCAGTACCCTCTTCGTAGCATCAAAGTGCACCTTTCGGTGTCGACCAGGTGCCACGTAGCGAGCCAAGAGGCTGAGAGGGTATGCGAGGTCAGGTCGTGTGCACGTCATCAGGTACATGAGGCAACCCACAAGCTCTGGGTACGGACCACTCGGCTCTACGGACTCGTCCGAAGGTGGAGCTGAGAGCGAGTGACCGGTAGCCAGAGGAGTGGGCTGTGGCGAGGAGTACGTGAAGCCGAAGCGCTGAAGGACCTGGTGCACCATGTGTGACTGAGTCAGGGTGATGGTGCGCCGTGCTCTGTCCCGGGTGATCTGCAAGCCAAGATAGCTCCGCAGCTCATCCAGGACAGCGCAGGTGTGTCTCTCCTGCAGCTCCGCCTTCACTAGGGCCAGTGCCTCAGTGTCAGCAGTAGCAAAAACCAAGTCGTCGACGTACACGAGGATGTAGAACGGCGGCAGAGTAGTGTCGGTGCGTAGAAACAGCGACGGGTCAGCAGTCGAAGGAGCAAACCCAAGAGCCGCAAGTGTCGTCCTCAGTGTGTCGTGCCACTCGCGGGGTGCCTGACGCAGGCCGTACACTGGTCGCCGTAGGCTCCGCTGGGTACCCTCAGGAAACGACCCAGTGAAGCCCTGTGGACGGCGCAACCAGATGGCCTCGTGAAGGCTACCCTGCAAGAAAGCTGTTGAGAAGTCGAGGGAGTGCAGCTCGTAGTCACGCTGAGCTGCAACGTGTAGCAACACCCGAAGAGTGGTCATCTTCGGGGTGGGGGAGGAGGTCTGAAAGAAGTCGACCCCCTCACGCTGACTGAAGCCTCGAGCAACGTAACGTGCCTTGAAGGCAGGCGGACGGCGGCCGCTTTACCCTGAAAATCCACATGCCACTGACGATGTTCGCCACAGGTGGGGGAACCTCGTCGACGTAGGTGCCTGTGGACTTCCAGGAAGCCATCTCTGCGTCCATGGCTGTCTGCCACTGAGAGGAGTACTCACCCGAAATCGCCTCCCTGTAGGAGCGCGGGGTGGGGATGTCAAGTGCATCCGGGTCTCCCTCAGGGGCAAGTAGCATGGTCGCGTGATGGGGTGAAGCGGCCGCAAGGCACTCCAGCTCCTCCTGTCTGTCCTCAAGAACGTCACAGCCAAGGGCAGTACAGCCAAGGGCAGTCTCACCCCCGACGGACGGAGGACAGGCAGGGTCAGGGTCAGAGACAAGACTCGCAAGGTAGTCTAGGCGGTACACAGCAGCAAAGTCAACGAGCTCAGCGACTAAGTCAGACGCAGCAGGGTTTAGGGTTTAGGGTTTAGGGTTTAGGGTTTAGGGTTTAGGGTTTAGGGTTTAGGGTTTAGGGTTTAGGGTTTAGGGTTTAGGGTTTAGGGTTTAGGGTTTAGGGTTTAGGGTTTAGGGTTTAGGGTTTAGGGTTTAGGGTTTAGGGTTTAGGGTTTAGGGTTTAGGGTTTAGGGTTTAGGGTTTAGGGTTTAGGGTTTAGGGTTTAGGGTTTAGGGTTTAGGGTTTAGGGTTTAGGGTTTAGGGTTTAGGGTTTAGGGTTTAGGGTTTAGGGTTTAGGGTTTAGGGTTTAGGGTTTAGGGTTTAGGGTTTAGGGTTTAGGGTTTAGGGTTTAGGGTTTAGGGTTTAGGGTTTAGGGTTTAGGGTTTAGGGTTTAGGGTTTAGGGTTTAGGGTTTAGGGTTTAGGGTTTAGGGTTTAGGGTTTAGGGTTTAGGGTTTAGGGTTTAGGGTTTAGGGTTTAGGGTTTAGGGTTTAGGGTTTAGGGTTTAGGGTTTAGGGTTTAGGGGTTTAGGGTTTAGGGTTTAGGGTTTAGGGTTTAGGGTTTAGGGTTTAGGGTTTAGGGTTTAGGGGTGTAGGGTTTAGGGTGTAGGGTTTAGGGTTTAGGGTTTAGGGTTTAGGGTTTAGGGTTTAGGGTTTAGGGTTTAGGGTTTAGGGTTTAGGGTTTAGGGTTTAGGGTTTAGGGTTTAGGGTTTAGGGTTTAGGGTTTAGGGTTTAGGGTTTAGGGTTTAGGGTTTAGGGTTTAGGGTTTAGGGTTTAGGGTTTAGGGTTTAGGGTTTAGGGTTTAGGGTTTAGGGTTTAGGGTTTAGGGTTTAGGGTTTAGGGTTTAGGGTTTAGGGTTTAGGGTTTAGGGTTTAGGGTTTAGGGTTTAGGGTTTAGGGTTTAGGGTTTAGGGTTTAGGGTTTAGGGTTTAGGGTTTAGGGTTTAGGGTTTAGGGTTTAGGGTTTAGGGTTTAGGGTTTAGGGTTTAGGGTTTAGGGTTTAGGGTTTAGGGTTTAGGGTTTAGGGTTTAGGGTTTAGGGTTTAGGGTTTAGGGTTTAGGGTTTAGGGTTTAGGGTTTAGGGTTTAGGGTTTAGGGTTTAGGGTTTAGGGTTTAGGGTTTAGGGTTTAGGGTTTAGGGTTTAGGGTTTAGGGTTTAGGGTTTAGGGTTTAGGGTTTAGGGTTTAGGGTTTAGGGTTTAGGGTTTAGGGTTTAGGGTTTAGGGTTTAGGGTTTAGGGTTTAGGGTTTAGGGTTTAGGGTTTAGGGTTTAG